TGTGTGTGTGTGTGTGTGTGTGTGTGTGTGTGTGTGTGTGTGTGTTAGACTGAACCCCACCAGGCTACGGGCCAGATGGCCGAGATGATAGCCTAAAGCTGGATCACTGGTTCTCATGGGTGACTGAAGTTTTAATACATGTTTAAATAAACAAATGGACGTGTGTGTTCATGGTGTAGAGGATGGTTGTGTGACRTCAGGTTGTCTGCTCTCACRTGCCCCAGGAACTCAGAACCAAAAYACCCTGATGTTGAWAGCGCTGGAGAAAGGGTGTACACTCTTACACATAACAATGAAATCACCTTTTTGTCTTGATTTTGGGTTAAATGATAAATAATTGTAWATGGGTCAGTGTTTAATTGAGGCAAAGAAGTAACTCTGCATTCAGTAAACAACAATAGGTTGCAGTTTTAGTTGCAGCTTGAAATCCATTGGTATTATAAAATACTGGGACTGTACTAAAAATGATATTCAAAGGTATTAAAACTTTCTGTATACACTCTGTGTAGGGAAAACAGGAATTAAACTGAACACAATAAAAAATAGGATTGAAGAGCAAAAATTAAATCCTCCYTTCCACACWAAACAACTAGTGACAAACAATTTCAGGCTTCATTTCAGTTTCCTGCTTGTGCTGCAGCGCCACACACAGGTCTGATATTGTTASTGCAGTAGTGTGGGTCATTTCCTGTCTGAATGAAAGCATTTGTATTCAGACTGTTCTGGAAAGACAGTGTTTCCACATGGGCAGAGCCTCACGGTTTATATAACGTACAGAAGGACTCAAAGTCTCTTTACTGGGTAAATGTTACATGAAGACAATGTGGTAACTAACCATCCTATTCTGTCATACTCTCGTCTTACAGGACATGTTTCTGCATGTTACATGTCATGTAGCTACTCTTTATTTGACCAATATTATATGTGCACAAAAYGTTTCTTTCACAATAAATATTCATTTAAATCTAGCTTTGGAGAGTGACTATTTTCTTTTTTATTTTCCATTTTCTATTTATGTTCTTGATCAAAGATAAAAGTCTTAAAACCAACAGGTCTGAAGTTTAAYACACTTATTGAAGGCCAATCAGATGACTGACGGCTAAATAACTAAATGTGTTTTCACTTAATTTAACATCTTCTCTCATGTGGTTTTTGTATTAAATCTGGTGAATGTGCCWGCTAAAAATACAAACTGAGCTGTTTGCTAACAACCTTCATCTAAAAGTCTTCAGTTCTGTCAGTGAGAGGTGTTTATAAAACCTGTCTACAGGTGAGTCTGAACTGCAACAGGACTAACCAATCCCTAGAGCAGTGCTTCCCCTATCCAGCATGTTTCACTTCAGCAGGTCTTCAGAAGATTGTTTTACATGTTTTTTAGTATTGCCTCTGGAAGTCATTGATTCTTTATTTGTAAATAATAAATCAGATAACATGTATTAAATCAGTGATGCTCAACCCTGGTCCTCAAGGACGCCTTTCCTGCATGTTTAGATGTTTCCCTGACTTGACACACCTGGTCTGAATGACTGAGTGATTAACAATCTTCTGAAGACCTGCTGAAGTAAAACATGCTGTATAGGGGTCCCA